TCATCCATCCAACCATCATCAATCCATCCAACCATCATCCAACCATCATCCATCCAACCATCGTCCATCCATCCAACCATCATCCATCCAACCATCATCCATCCATCATCCATCCAACCATCATCCATCCATCCATCCATCCATCCATCTAACCATCATTCAACATCCATCCATCATCCATCAATCATCCATCCAACCATCATCATCCATCCAACCATCATCCAACCATCATCCATCCATCATCCATCCATCCATCATCCATCCAACCATCATCCATCCAACCATCATTCATCCATCCATCCATCATCCATCCAACCATCATCCAACCATCATCCATCCATCATCCATCCAACCATCTAACCATCATTCAACCATCCATCCATCATCCATCAATCATCCATCCAACCATCATCCATCCATCCAACCATCATTCAACCATCCATCCGTCATCCATCCAACCATCATCAATCCATCCAACCATCATCCAACTATTCATCATCCATCCATCCAACCATCATCCAACCATCATCCAACTATTCATCATCCATCCATCCAACCATCATCCATCCATCATCCAACCATCATCCATCCATCCATCATCCATCCAACCATCATCAATTCATCCAACCATCATCCAACTATTCATCATCCATCCATCCAACCATCATCCAACCATCATCCAACTATTCATCATCCATCCATCCAACCATCATCCATCCATCATCCAACCATCATCCATCCATCCATCATCCATCCAACCATCATTTTACCATCCATCCATCATCCATCCAACCATCATCCATCCATCCATCTAACCATCATCCATCCAACCATCATCCATCCAACCATCATTTTACCATCCATCCATCATCCATCCAACCATCATCCATCCAACCATCATCCATCCAACCATCATTCAACCATCCATCATCCATCTAACCATCATTCAACCATCCATCCATCATCCATCCATCCAACCATAATTCAGCCATCCATCCATCATCCATCCAACGATTCATCCATTTATCTATCCATCTTTACCTCTTAAAGAAAACTGGTTTTTATATTTTGGTATGATTTGATCAAACTTTACAGCAGATGATAAAAACAAACAAATCTTCAAATCAAAGTTATATCCTGTGTTAAACTCATAGATTTATCTACTTGTTCAGGGTTTTTGTCTCTACATGACAGGTCCAAGACAGTAAAAGTTTTTCTGTTGTTTGTTCAGCTGAATCATTCTGGGTGCAGCCAGACAAGGTCAGGTCAACCTGCAGAGCTTCATGTGCTTCCAGCACACTTTGTGCATTTTTACACATTTGTCTGCAGCTAAAAGTGTCTCATTAGAAACAATCAAGTTGAGCTGGAGCAGAAGTCTGGATGGTGTCTGGGTTAAAGGTTCTGTGGAGAAAAAAAACCTGAAGAATCATTTTAAACGTCACCTGAAGTCAGTTTAATGGATCATTTTTTAGAGAAATCTTAAACTTTTCTCTGACATGTTTTTTTTTTTATTTAAGGTTATTAAAGGAGCTGAATTTCTTCTTTTTCTGTTATTTGGTTATTTATTCATGTTCACCACATTTCCTGTCAATAAGTGAAGCTATCATCAGGAAGGACAGGAGAAAAATATATCAAATAAATCAGCCGCTCGTTTATTTTGAAATCACAGGAAATAACTGGTTGAAAAGCTCCAGTGAGTCATAAAAACGCTCCTCGTTACGTCTCTGACTTCCTGCAGCTGAAACCGAGTTCATCACATTTTATTTATTTATTTATCAGTTTGTTTTTTTATTTGCTTCAATGTGGCTCTGCACCGAGTCAAAGAGACGGAGCTAAAACTGCCTTTTCAACAACAAAAAGGCAAAATGAACATAAAGGAAATAAAAACAGTAAATCAAAGTATTTAGAGCGACATCAAAACGGTCGGGTTCCTCCTCAGTAAATCGTTTTTATGTCGATGCGAACAGCTGGTGAAAGGGAGACTATAATCCTGTTGAACTCGTGTTCCCGGGTCAGACCCTGAAGGTGGAACCGTCTCACCTTCCTCCTCTTCTTCACCTCTGTCCTGCAGCTGGACACGGAGGCGGCCGACGTCCTCAACGAGCTGCAGGTGAAGCTCAGCAGCATCCTGGACAACTTCAGCATCCTGTTTGCAAAAAGGTAAAACGAGACGGAAAACAAACAAACAGGTTGTTTGTTTATTTATTTTACTTTATTTACAAAACAATGTTCTAAAAAATATGTTGATTTCTCCATTTCCTACAAAAACGTTGTTCTCTAAAATTTACTTTAGTTTGTTGTTTAATGCTACTTGTAGTTTTTAACTAATGACTTGGTAGTTTTAGCTTTTAGCTACTGTTTGGCTAATTTATCTTTTTATCTAGTGTTTTGCTAAATCTAGCTTGTTGTTGGGGTTTTGCTGATTTTAGCTGTTTCCTGTGGTTTTGCTCATCTTTGCGTTTAGCTTTTGTTTAGCTTGTTTTATATTTTAGCTTGTTTTCTGTGAAATTAGGCTTTTAGTTATTGTTTTGCCACATTTAGCTTTTAGCTATGGTTTTTACTAGTTTTGAACTGTGGCTTTGCTAATTTCAGCTTTTAGCTACTTTTTGTTTCAGTAAGGTTGTCTCATTTTTGCTTTTAGCTTTTGTTTTGCTACATTTAGCTTTTGACAGTGGTTTTCCTGATGTTAGCTTTTAGCTGCTTTGTTGTTAACGTTACCTTTCCAGCTAAGGTTTTGCAGATTTTAGCTTCTGTTCTGTTAGTTTTAGCTTTAACAGCTAAGTTAATTTGTTCTTCGTGAAGCTTCAGCTGATTGCTTCAGCTCCTAGTGTTCACCCTACCAGCTGGTAAAACAAGACGGAACTTTGTTTGTTTGTTTGTTTGTTTGTTTGTTTGTTTGTTTGTTTACATTGTGAGTAAATCTCTCTGCAGCTTCATGAACCGTATAAACAGCTGCATGCGTCAGATGGCAGAGATCCTGTACCAGATGAAGGGTCCACCCAACCCCGGCGCTGCAGAGGCGGACGCTGACGCCGCGCTCAGACCCCTCATGGAGTTCCTGGATGGGAAGTAAGACGAGCCGAAGGTGGGGGGTGGGGGTGGGGGGGGGGTGATGGTCGGACCCCCTGACCTCTTTCCTCTGGTGTTTCCAGTCTGAGCGTCTTCGCCGACATCTGTGAGAAAACGGTTCTGAAGAGGATCCTGAAGGACCTGTGGAAGATGGTCCTGAGCAGCCTGGAGAAGACCGTGGTCCTTCCTCAGAGCAGCGACAGCCTGGTGAGACCCTGAACCAGTCAGACTGGTGACCAGTCACTAAACTCAAATGTAGCCACAGTTAAACCTACACACGTTTTTAGACCCAATATAAACGATTTTAGACCAAACTGTTAAACTGTTAATTGTCATAAATAGAAAAGTTTTACACTTGGGGCACAGTTTAAACAGTTTATATGAAAAAAAAGATACATTTTGGGGTAAGTTACTCTTTAAAATGATCATTTTAAAACCCAGACCTCTGACAGATGTGTTGTTAATTAACTTAATTAGCTGTTTAATAACCGTACCATTACATTTAAAGCTGTTCTGGGATGTTTTGCTGCCATCAAATTAAAATTTACATTATATTTTTGTTCTTTAAAATTGTGTAACTTCTTGATTTTGCTATTTAATCCGTTTAATGTGTCAAATTAGTTATAAAATGAGATCAACGGTGCTGCTCTGCTGCCCCCTGCTGGTGGATGTTAGCTGTTAGCAGCACGTTGGAGTATTTTTCCTTCTAATTTAATGTCTGAGGATTAATCTTCTTGTCTTTGTTTCCAGGGAGCCCAGCTCCTCACAGCAGCTAAAGGACTCTCTAACCTGAAGGTAAGAGATGAGCCGAAGTCTGGATCAGTTTTCATCTGGTTAGCAATAAGCAGCCTGGTCCATCTGGTTTTTAACTCTTTGATGTAAATAAAAACAAACAGGTTTTTAATCTGGATCAGATTTATCTGTGTTGTGTGTCTGTGTGTTTCAGGGAGGAGGTGAAGCCAGAACTCTGACACCCAAACAGTGTTTGGTTATTGACACCGGGCTGGAGACCATCAAGGTGGGCGGAGCTTCAGGACCTAAAACTATCAGAAATCAGACATTTATCTTTAAATATAAAACCTGAGGAGGTGGAGGAGGTCCACACCTTCAGGTCCTCGTACCTGCTGAGCTCAGCTGGACTCACGTCATCATGAAGGTCCAGCAGAGACCGGACCAAACTGCTGACATCCTGCATCACTGTGTGGTGAGCAGGGGGTCCACCATCCTGCAGGGTTTAGAGCAGGGGTCCACCATCCTGCAGGGTTTAGAGCAGGGGTCCACCATCCTGCAGGGTTTAGAGCAGGGGTCCACCATCCTGCAGGGTTTAGAGGTATCTCTGCTCAAACATCTGATCAGAGTAAAGGTGTGATTAACAGGGTTCTACAGAACATGATGAGGTCATTCAGTCAGAGAAACATCTAAAACAATGACATCATAAGATATAAGATAAGATAAGATAAGATAAGATAAGATAAGATAAGATAAAAACTTTATTGATCCCACAGTGGGGAAATTTGCACATTACAGCAGCTTAATACAGGAGAGGCTGAGAAGAAAAATGAAAAATAAATAAAAGATAACAAAAACAAAAACAACCCCACAATAAACACATGTGATATATAGTAATGTACATATACCAGTGCACATATACACATATACATAAACACATATGCATATTTATATACATATATACACGAGAGGCTGGGAAGAATAATGAAAGATTAATAAAAGATAACAAACAAAACCCCACAATAAACACATGTGATATATAGTAATGTACATATACCAGT